CAGGTGTGTGTCTGCAGGTCTTTATGTGTGCAGGTGTGTGTGTGTGCAAGTATGTGTGCAGGTTTGTGTGTGTGCTAGTATGTGTGCAGGTTTGTGTGCGGGTATGTATTGTGCAGGTGTGTTTGTACAAGTGTGTGTGTTGGCAGATGTGTGTGCAGGTGTGTGTTCGCCAGTGTACACACCTGCCACTGCATACTCAGTTGGAACCCTTCCCTAATCCCTGGGCCCCCTCTAACTCACCCCTCACCTTCTCTTTGCTCCCTCACAGACCATCCTGGTGGGCGATAGCAGTGTGCGAAATACATCCATGCTGATGCAGTTCGACCAGGGCAAGGTCCTCCCAGGCTCCTTCTCAGCCACTGTGGGCATCAGCTTCACGGTAAGTGCTGCCAGCCAGGCCACATGAACCCTGGGGCTCTGCCAGATGCACACCCCAGTGTCCTTCAGGGTCTTGAGGACAAAGGCCACCTGCAAGATCAGTGGGCTGCAGGGAAGAGAGAAAGGACTCGGGGCTTCAGGAACCTTCATCCAAGGCCTGTGTGTACAGGCAAACCCAGGCCATGATGGCTCGGTACAAAGAGGGTCTCGTGGGCAGGCTGGTGTCAGGAGCTGTGCTCCCTTGGCACCCGCACCCAGGACAGTCACATCCCCCGCCCAGGCTCTCCTCCTGCTCACCCTTCTCCTGGGGCTATTCCTGGCTGAACACGACGGAAACCTCCTGGATATCAGAGCAGTGTCCACGCAGGCTGCTCAGGGCAGTGTCCATGGGAGGAATCCAAGAGGCCATGGCTGGCAGAACATTCCAGACACAGTCCTCAGCTGTGCCATCAGGGACCGTCCAGGGTCCAGCTCCACTTCAGCCTGTACCCAGACCCAGGTGAGAAGCAGCTCTCAATGGGATATTCCTGGTCTGCAGACACAGCCCAGAGCCCTCCTGAGCCAAGCCCCTGACCCGGCCTGTCACAGCAAGCACAGGCTGTGAGGCCCAACTCGGGGACACAGCGGTGCCCTGATGGGGGAGACAGGAGAGGGGACGCCCAAGGTCTGAGCATGCCTGTGAAGACCCAGCAAGGAAGGCGAGGGCTCAGGATGACGGGGGTTTCCAGGAAGCAGGGAGGGGAGCCTGTCCGGGAGAGAGCGGGTCTGGAGTCGAGGGGCCCCCAGAGCTGGTCCCCGAGGCCCAAGGCAGGAGCAGGGAGGGTGGGGGCAGTGTGGCTCAGGGTCCTCAGCCCAGGCCCCCATCCCTGAGTGAAGCTCTCCTCACACCTCTGGACTGTCAGAGGTGCAGAGCATGGTGTGTGGGCAGGTGTGACCCTCAGGCTCACAGAGGCAGGGGTGGGGGTGGGGCCCCCATTTCCATGCTGACCTGGCTGGGCCCCAACATTGGGGAGGACCCTGAGCCCTGGGATATGGCTCCTGCGGGCCCAGCTCACAGGCTGGGGAGGCTGAGGGAGGGTCACCCCCTGGACCCCGGGACCCCCTCACCCAGAAGCCCCTGGCCTGGCCTTCTGGGAGAAGCGCTTCTGGCCCAGGGCTCCCTGCACCCCTCAGCTGGTCCCTCACCCTGGCCGCTGTGTGGGTGGAGGAGTTTGCTGGGTGCCGGCACCCCGGGACTCACACAGTCACCGTACCGGTCAGTCTCTCCCCACTCAGGTCTCCCCACTGCTTACTGCCTCACTTTTCCCACGTCTCATTCCTAAAGGGTGAAAAGTACCCGGGTCAGCGCCTCTGGTCCATGCTCTGTCACCTCACCAGGTGTTCTGTTGCCTCCTCCCCGAGGCTCGCACTGCTGACACAGGTGTAGGGCGGAACCCCACTCAGGAAGGCACATCCAACCCCAGGAAGCTGGGCTGAGGGGCAGATGCTGAGGTCCAGGTCTGCATCTCCACAGGAACCGGTCCCCAGACTACAGGTTGGGAAACAGGTGCTGAGAATTCGGCATCTGGACTGGGTGAGGCGAGGTCGGGGGACACGTCTGAGGGGAACATTCATGAAGAGCGAGTATCTGAGGGGGACACATGTGAGGAGAATGTCTGAGGCACTGTGTGTGTGTGGTGTGTGCCTATGTTCGTGGTGTGAGCTGGGTCCCTGGGCCTGATCATGGGCATTTGCACGTTGCTATGCCTTGAGGTCTGTGTGATTGTCACATGACACAAAATTATATTTGTGCTAAAATTATATTTGTGCTATCATTTCAGGTTTGAGTGTAGTATGAGGCATGTATGTGTGTGATGTGCCTGGAGTGTGTGTTTTTCTCGTGGTGTAAGATGTGTACCTTATGACATGTGTGGTGTCAGGAAGTCGTGGCCTGTGCTAAGGAGTGTGCACCTGAGATGCCGTGTGAGGGGTATGTGTTTGCATGTGTGTGTGTGTATGTGTGTGTGAGTGTGTGAGTTGAGTTTTTCGTACTGTCAGTGTGTTTCTTTGGTGTGAGGTGTATGAGTCTCTGAATAAGGTGTCTGTGTCTGCAACAAAGTCTGAAGTATGTGTGTCTGTGGCCTGAAGCACATGTGTATATGGTATAAGGGTGTGCATGTCTCTGGTCTGAGCTGTGTGTGTGTGTCTGAGATAGTAACAGAAATGTCTCTGTGGTGTGAGCTGTGTGTATACTGTGAGGTATGTGTGTACATGTTTGTGGTGTCGGCTGTGTGTTGTAAGGTATGTTTGAGTGTGTCTGTGGTATGAAATGTGCATGAGCGCTGTAAGGTATGTGTGTGCATGTTTGTGCTGTGAGGTGTACGTGTATGTTTGTTGTAAGGTATGTGTGTGTGCCTGTGGTGTGAGATTTTGTGTGTATGAGAGGCGTGTCTGTGGTATGTTTATGAGTGTGTGGTGTGAGGGGTGTGTGTGTATTTGTGTATGTGTCTGTGTCTGAAATAGTACCAGGTGAGTGTTTGGGGTCTTCTGCTACTACTCTGTGGGGTTGTGAGACAAACACAGTAATATTCATGGTTTACTTTTTATTTTTTTTTGCTTTTTGTGTCACACCCGGCGATGCTCAGGGATTACTCCTGGCTCTGCACTCAGGAATCACTACTGGCGGTGCTCGGGGGACCCTGTAAGTTAACAGGGATTGAACCCTGATTGGACACATGCAAGGCAAATATCCTCCTGGTTGTACTATTGCTCTGCCCCCATGGTTTACATTTATTATGGAGCCAAAAGAGGGAGCTGGCAGGTGGTTCAATGGGCCAGACAAGTGCTCTGCATGCGGGAACCTGAGGTCAACCTTGACCCAGCTTTACCCATCCTGATGATGGATCCGGTTCTCAGAGACTCCTTGTGGGAAACCAGGCCTTACGGCTGGTGGATCACTTGGATTTTGTGCAGTAGAAAACGGACAAGCGAGAAATGTCTTTACGGAAACACCCACTAGCAGCGCGTTTGGCAGCGCTCCTGACTGGGGGCCCGAGAGCTCCCAGAGCAGAGACCAGCAGTGGGCACCGGGCGGAATGAGGTGGGGCCCAGTGGGGAACTGGCTCTCACACCCGGCCCCAGGGGGTCCCAGAGGAGAAGAATCAGTCCTGCTCGTTCCTGGTCACCCCTGCAGCTCCCTTCTGAGCGGGAAGGTGTGTCTGAGATTCCTAGGAGCAAATTCGCCTCCAGATTTGGAGATCAAAGCCACAGACATAGTCTCTCAAAGCCCTAGACACTGGAAGTTCGAATTGGCCACTGGCACCTCCCACAAGAAGCTGGCAACTTCCAGGGGATCCCCTGGAGGCCGCAGGTCTCTTCCTGTTTCTGAGGGTTTGGGGCATTTCTCGGCCAAAGATGCTTTTTCCACATGTTGCATTCAGAGGAGCGGGTGTCGGGTCTTGGAGCTCTTTGGGGTCTCAGCCCTGGTGGAGAGACCTTGGCAGCCAGGACTGGTAAGAGGCAAGTAGGCCCTTGTATGGGGGGAAGAAGGGGGTGCAGGGGCAGAGCTGCCCGGGGGCCCAGCAGGAGGGAGACACTGTTAGCAGCAGAGCCAGAAGGTCCAGGGACAGGAGGCAGCTGGGACGTCTGATGGAGCCTGTTCTGCATAAACTCTCTTTGGAGAACACGGAAACAGGCTCTAACGGAAGCTTGACATGACTAGTGACCTCCTAGATCTGAGACCAGGCAAACAGCTTTGGGCTGGCACTTAACACGTCCCTCAGTGGGGCTGTGGAAAGGAGGTTCTGGGACAGGAGAGACAGAACAGGGTTTAATGCATCTGTTTGCATGAGGCTGACCCAGATTTGATCTCTAGCACCCTAAGGATCCCCTGAGCCTTCGAGAAGTGACCCCTGAGCCCAGAGCCAGAGGAAGCCCTGAGCAGTGCCAGGTGTGACTGCAAAACCAAAACCAAAAGTAAACACTAGGGGAAGAGTCTGTTCAGGGCTAAATGAAGGAGGATAGACAGCCAGAACTTGGGCCAAGGACTGGACTCATCTGATCCAGCGTGTCCTGCATTTGTTGTCCAGCTGTGTTGCTCGAGAGAGGAGGGGACATTCACTCCAAAGGGTCTGGAAGGTCAGCGGGAACCAGTTCACAGATGGACAAGAAGGTACACTTTAATCAGGCGTAGCTGAGGGACAGGCTGGGTGAGGTCACTTCGAGCCCTCCCTTTCCACAGAGGCTGATTTCCCAGGTGCTGTTTCCACTGGAAGCTGAGGACTTTTTCCGTGGGAAGAGGCCAGATGTTCTCTTCTCTGGGTCCTGCGTGGGGGGTATCTGCTCCTTCTCCCCATCTCTGACTACTGTGTACCCCTTGAGCAGGAACTGAAAACACTCAGCTGTGAATAGGCAGTGTTCACGGGGGGTGGGGACTGGGCACTGCAGGGTGGGGAACTAGGCCTTGCCTGGCACCCCGATTTCTTTTTTTTAAATTTATTTATTGAATCACCGTGAGAATAGTTACAAAGCTTTCAGGTTTAAGTCTCGGTCATACAATGATCAAACACCCATCCCTTCACCATTGCATATTTTCCACTACCAAGAACCCCAATATACACCCCATCCCACCCCTCCCCATGCCTGTGGGGCAAATGATTTCCACTTAACTCTCTCTCTACTTTGATTACATTCATTATTTCGACAAAAGATGCACCATTATTATTTAGAATTTTCCCCCAGCAATCAAATCTGCTGAAAAAGGCATCATGAAATAATTTGTTTTCTATTACTGTTATGAAGACCATATGATGTCTGATTTCTGATATTTTGGATTTCTGTTATTTTACTAATTAAGTCTAGAGAAATTTCTGCCAAAAGCCTCATAGTTCCGAGATTGGTTTCTGTGTCTCTGGGGCCATGGTCGTACTGATGAGCTGTTCGTGGGAGCAACTCGTGGTCTCGGCGGGGCAAGAAAGATGGGCCTGTTCCAATCCTCCAGCCCCCCCCCCCAACCCAAGAGGCCACAGTTGCTCCATCAGTGCCGGCTCAACCTGGCTGTCCAATAAGCTCTGAGGCAGCAGCCACCATTCCACAGGGGGTGGGGGGGGAAGGGGCGGGGAGGCAAGGGGGAAGGGGAAGCGGGGAAGCAGAGCAAAGAAACACCCTTTTCCTCCCAGGTGGCACCCTGATTTCTGCAGCTACTCAGTGCTCATGATTGAGGTTCTCTTTTCGTTTCCTAGGGTCCCTCTGAGACCAGCTTGACCAGATGACGGCCCCCATCATGACCAGAAGCAGAGGAACCTTCAAGAAAACCAGGAGCAGGAAGTGGACACTGCTGAGTAGGAACCTGAGGGGGTAAAATGACAAGAAATTAGGCACCTCCTTGGCCCCCTAAATCAAGCCCCTGGGCCCATCACCTGTGTGTCCCCAGACAGCCCTTAAGTGTCCCCCAGGACAGCCCCTGAGCCTCAATCATCCTGGTCCTGCTCTGCCCAATGAACCCATCATGGTTGGAGAACTGTTGACCTCTGGACTCCAAGAACCCCGTAGCTGGCTGGATGCTCCCACCTTGGCCAGAGACACTTATGGAGCCTCCAGGACTGACCCAGAAGAGGAAGCAGTTCTCAGCTCACGTTTTCTGAGTGATTGGGAGAAGGATATCTCAGAACAAGGACATGTTGGGGAGGAGACCTGAGGGTTCTGAGGGGAATTGGGGTCGACTCATGGGGTCACTGTGTCTAGGACCTGAGCCTCTCTGCTTCTAGGAGTCTCAGAGTGGCAGAGGGTTGGGGCTCCAAGTCCGTCTCCATGCCCTCTATGTGGAGTGGGGGACAGAGGGACAGCCAAGGATGAAAGCTCAGGATCTGTACAACACTCATGGGTGTTGTCCACCAGGACTGAGAGGACGAGTAAACCCCAATCTCCATGGAGAGGAGGAGAGATCAGAGGAGTAAAGAGGAGGGGAGAGGAAAGATGGAAGAATAGAGTATCTCAGACCATCTGCACTTCCTGTGGGACCCAGGGTATCAGTGCTGCCAACGGGTCCAGGTGGAGAGTCCTGGGCTCCGGACCATGTACCAGGGGAGGTCCATGGAGAGAATATGGGCAGGGAACAAGACAGGAGACATTGGGGGGTGTGAGAGATGTTGGCAGGGACAGAGTTGGGAGCGGGGCCAGAGATGTGGTCTCCTGTGGAGCCCAGAGATGTCCCACCCACCCACGCCTTGGTTTCAGATCCGGGGTCACTGGGGTTAAGTGGGATGTGGGGGCCCCAGCTGGGACCCTAGAGGAGCCTGCTTGTCCAGGGAAAGTCCTGGGAGAGCCCATGGAGCAGTGGACCCAAAGGGACGCGGAAGAGAGCAGAGCATGTGGCCATCTCACGTGGTGTTGGAGAGGGCCCTGGTCACCGTCGGAGCGTCTGTAGTCTCTTCTATGGTGGCCGCTGTGGTGGGTGCATTGGTGGTTGTGGTGGTCGTGGTGGACACAGTGGTGGTGGTCGGGTCTGGGGTTGGAGTTGAACAGAGGGACCAGGTCACAGGTGGCTCCAGCTGCCCGGCCAGCCCCGAGCTGGGCAAAGAGCGCTGAGCCCAGAGGGCGGGGGCTGCTTGGATGGGGGAGCCCCTGAGTATCTCAGAGAAGCCCCTCACTCACCCTAGGCCTACATGGACTCAGTCCCAGGACAGTTCCCTCAGAGTTCCCTGAGGTGAAGACAGCAGAGAGACTCAGGAGCAGCCAGACACGACACGGACACAGTCACCTACCTGGTCTGACGGTCACTCTGACCTGGACTGCCAGATCACTTCCCCGTCTCTGAATCCCGCACCAATAAGTGTTGGTGTCACTGGCCCTGAGCTGCGCCATTGTCACAGTGAACCTGTGCCGAATCTGGTCATCCCTGATAGTCACCCGGTCACTCCTGACCACCTGCTGTGATCCAGAGGTTTCTACAAGGGTACTGCATGAAGCCCAGGCTTTCCCACGGCACCACATCTTCTGGTACTTCTTATACTTGACGTTATACCAACAGTACACATTCAAGGAGCCTCCAACATGGCCTGTAACTGCTCCAGGTCCCTCCAAATCAGCTGAGCCTGGAGACAAATGCACAAGCCAGTCACCTCCCAGCACGGGTAGCACCACCACCGGGCTCAGGGACTCCCCCCATCCCTTCCCGCCCAGGAACACTCACCTCCCCCGTCTCTCTTTATCCTTTCCCGGAACCCCCAGGACCCCATATGGGCCTCAGAGACTCAAGACCATGACCCTGAGCAGTGATGGCCCTTGACCAGCAGCCCAGAACCACTACACACTGCCTCAGCCTGTCCCTTAGCCGCCCCGCAGGACTGGGCAGGCGGAGCCTGGGCCCCTGTCTCTGAAGGATGAAGGATGGAGGGTGACGGGTGGTGGTGACAGATGACACTTTTGCTCCTGTGACAGAAGCTCCAGTGGCTGAAACCACACACCTCTGGGGGTGGTGGCTCTCCCCAGTGGTCATGGTGGTCTTTCCTGGGTTGGTGATAAACCATCTACACAGACGCTCTTGAAGCCTCCCATGGCTTGGTGCCCACTGCCCCGTGTGCTGTGTAATCCGCCTCCCCCACAGCCATCGTTTCCCGGGAACTGCTTTGGTCCCCCCAGGGCATCCTACGTGTGTGTCACTCAGGGTGTCCTGGCTCCCTCTGTCCATCTTGATGCTGAACCGTCCCTCTCTCAGCGCAGTCGTCACTGGTACAGAGGTGGCTCCTCCGAAGCCCTTTCTCTCTCTGACTTGTTTGAAGATATAGTGCCACGGAAAGTCTGCTTTCCTTTGCAGAATGCTCTGGAGACAGCGGGGTCCTGAGAAACCCTGTCGGCCCATGGGGCAATGCTTGGGCCGCCACTCAGGGGCGTGAGGACCCCTCGAGGACAGGCCCCTCCGACACGGCCTCTGTCCCTTGCTGCATTGGGCCCTGCGGTTCCAGGCCATTCCACTGTGCTGGAACCTTGGAAGCTGGGCGTTGTGTGGATCTGTCTGCTGGAAACTTAATCAGAAATGACAACAAGTAGCAGATGCAAATGGGTCATTGCAGGCCCCTCTGCTGGCAGAGAGCTAGCCCAGTGCCAAGTGTCCAAAACAACATGGTGCCGCCGAACCTTCCCGGGTAGACTGGTCTGGGCTGAGAACTTGGGGGCTTATCGGATTGGGGGTGCAAAGATTCCCCTTTGATGGCAGCAGCGGCGGCAGCAAGCAGCGTGTGGGAAGTGGTCTCACTCTTTAGAAAATTGTTCGGTATCATCGCTCTGCTGAAGTTGCTTCTGTACCTGCTCCGTATGTGCCTCGCAATGACCTGGACATCTGGAGGTGCCAGCCACTCAGAGCTGATCCACAGTCTCCACAAAAATGGAATCATCAAGATAGATAAAGGTATTTGATGTAATGTTGGCCACAGACCACTCCCACTATGCAAAATCTAATCCTTACATGGATTCTCCACCATCAATAGGTTTCCAAGCAGCAATCAGTGCTCCACACATGCACGCGGATGCGCTAGAATTTCTCACTGACCAGTTGCAGAAGGGGCTAAAGCTCTTGATGTAGGATCTGGAAGTGGAATCCTCACGGCCTGTTTTGCATGTATGGTGGGCTCTACTAGAAAAGTGATAGGAACTGACCATATTAAAGAGTTAGTAGATGACTCGATAAATAACGTCAGAAAGGATGATCCTGTGCTTTTGTCTTCAGGGAAAGTGAAGTTGGTCGTGGAGAATGGATATGCCGAATATTTGACTTACAAATACAAAATCAGAGATTTATGAGGAATTTGACTTTACAAGTTACAGGGAGCGCTTAGGGGAAAATGATGATTAACTGGCTGGGGAAGAGAGCACAGAGAAAAGGTTACAGATATACACCAAGTAATGGGAGTGCCTCAGGAGCACTGTGATGGATGTAACCCAATAAACCTAAGCTCCCTGGGGCCAGGGAGAAAGGGCAAACCATTGTTATCCTACACCTTTTGGCCATTTGTATTTCTTTCTTGAGGAAGCTTCTGTTCATTTCTTCTCCCCATTTTTTGATGGGGTTAGAGGATTTTTTTCTTATACAATTCTACTAGTGTCTTGTATGTCCTGGATATTAACCCCTTATCAGATGGGTATTTGGTACATATCCTTTCCCATTTCATGGGCTCGTCCTGTATTTTGGTCACTGTTTCTTTTGAGGTGCAGAATCTTCTTCTTTTAATGTAGTCCCATTTGTTTATCTGTTTCCACTTGTTTGGTCAGTGGTGTTTCATTCTTAAAGATGCTTCTAGCTTCAATGTCATGGAGGGTTCTGCCTACATTTTCCTGCATGTACCTCATGGATTCAGGTCTGATATTGAGGTCTTTAATCCACTTTGATCTGACTTTTCTGACTGGCATTAGACAGAGGTCAGAGTTCATATTTTTGCATGTAACTGTCCAGTTTTCCCAGCACCACTTGTAGAAGAGGCTAATCTTGTTTCACTTCACATTTCTTGCTCCTTTATCAAAGATAAAGTGATCATAAATATGAGAGTCTGTGATGGAGTATTAAACTCTAATCCGTTGGACTGCAGGCCTGTTTCTAGCCCAATACCATGCTGTTTCAATTACTACTGCTTTGTAATACAGTTTGAAGTTTGGGTAGTTGATGCCACTCATCTTCTTTTCCCCAAGGATTGCTTTAGCTATTTGGGGGGCTTATTGTTCCATATGAATTTCAGGAGTGTTTTGTCTATTTCTTTGAAGAATATCATGGGTATCCTGATAGGGACCACATTCAATCTGTATAGTACTTTGGGGAGTAATGCCATTTTGATAATATACATTTTATTTTAAGATTTTAAAAATGAATGGATCACTATGCATCGAAGGGCCACTCTGTCAGTACATGCACCCAGTGGTCAAATCCCACTCCAGATCTGTCCCTGAGTGAGCTCAGCCTGTCATTCCCTTCCTCTGTCTTTGTCAAGGTTAGCATTAGAGCTGCTCTGTTGCAGCGTCCTGAAGATGACGTCGGCATAGGCCAGAAAAGCAGATGTCCAGAGAACGAAGGAGTCGCTGTTCCCTTAGTACCTTCAGGATTATCCCAGAGTTCTCGGACAAGCTCTTTCATGCTGTTGCTCGCCATGGAACCAAAACCTCACGTGAAGGCAAGTGACATCACTGGCCTCATGCCAATTCTTAACTGGGCCAAATTTTTTAATTTGGTCAATGTTTATATTTCCCCCCATGACTATTAGTATTGAGGTATTTTAGTTGCTGTTGATTCTGGGTCTGTTCTACTGTTACTCCCTCCCCAGTGTTATCTATTTTATGGAGCATTATTATTTTTGTTATTTTCAGAGGTTGTTTTGGAGTCATACCCAATTGGACTCAGGGTTTACTCCTGGGTCTATGCTCAGGGATCCCTCCTGGCAGGGCCTAGAGAATCATAGGTGGTGCGGAGAACAGAGCCAAGAGTGTTCAAGGTGAGCAACTTACCCACTGTAATATCTCTCTAGACCTTTTGTAGACTATTATTAGCACAAAATTTGTTTGTCCTTCTCAATGCTGTCTTATTGGGGGCTCTTCCAGGGTCAGGGGAATGAGGCCCTTTTTTTTCACTGTTTTTGACATATCGAATATGCCATGGGTAGCTTGCCAGGCTCTGTCATACTGGTGGCATGTTGTAACGATCTATGTTGGTTCTCTCTTTGCCGGTTGGCATCATTGCCGCCCTCTTGCTACAATGAGGCGGTGAAACATCGAGGACGGTGGACCTTTCTACTCCTCACTTATCTACAATAGCTGGTCCCTGCCCTACTCCTTCCTTGATTATGGTAGCTGGCCCCCGTCCTACTCCTCCCTTATCTACAGCAACTGACCTCAGAGACCTGGGCCCTATGAAAACAGGAGGAGAACACTATTCACTACTCAGGTATCCCAAAGAGGAATCAAAAGAGCTATGCTTGGAATATCACGTTTCACTCAAGTGAGAGAAGGAATTCGGAGTTCTGACCTCCATCGACAATCAAGAATCAGGAACACTGTCTCGTTTGCCAAGGCGTCAAAAATCAGATGGACCGGACATGTAATGCGATTTAGAGATGACCACTGGACTAGAGCTGTTACCAACTGAATTCCATGGAACGTCAAAAGAACATGTGGCCACCCACCTACGAGATGGTCAGACTTCTTCAACAAAACCCTAAATGAACTGTTTGAGTCTCTTCATGTTCCTGGAGTGAGCAGAGGCCTTTTGGGCTACACTAGCACGTGACAGGGACAAATGGAGAGGTTACTGGCACCTGCTCAAGCAAATCAATGAACAACGGGATGACAAGAGATACAAGTGACTTTGGTAACTATCAGGATGTTACAAGCTGATTCTAGAACCTTTGATCATGTCAGATGGAAACCTCTTTCTCTTCCTCCCTCCATCCTTTCCTTCCTTTCTTTTTTCTTATTTCCTCATTTCCTTCCTTCCTTCCTTCCTTCCTTCCTTCCTTCCTTCCTTCCTTCATTCTCTTTTATCCCTCATTTTTTTCTTTTTTTTGGGGGGGGCCCACTCCCAGCGGTACTCAGGGGTTACTCCTAGCTCTGCACTCAGGAATCACTCCTGGCAGGCTCGGGGGACCCCATGGGGTAATTGAACCTGGGTCATACCCATGCAAGGCAAGCACCTTACTCACTGTATCTTCACTCCAGCCCCTCTATTTTCTCTGAGCCAAATACTGCACCCAGAAAATCATGTAATCACCGCTCTACACCTAAATTACCTTGTTTTATTTTTTTTAAATACAAAGTCTTTATAACTTTTCTATTCATTCATTCATTCATCATCCTGTTAATCGTCGATTGCCTCGAGCAGGCCCCAGTAAAGTCTCTTTCATCCTAGCCCTGAGATTATATTCAAGGCTTTTTAGGAGAATGAGACCCATCATTGTTACTGGTATTTGGCATATTTGGTGCACCACAGGGAGTTTGCCAGACTCTGCCCTGTGGGCAGGCTATATTCGATAGCCTGCAAGTTTGTCCAGATGTTCTGATAAGTTCTTATCAGAACTTTTCTATTATCTATATTTTATATTATCCAATTATATCAGGATGTTTCAGGGATATCAAACCAAAATCACTTCAGATCATTTTTATTTCCTGTGAAAGACTTTCAAGATGCATTCGTCTTTTTAATATTTAGCCAAAGACTTACATAAAACTTGACGGTGCAAATATACACCTGAGGGGATGGGTG